TGCAGAGCATTTTCACTGATATACAGAATTTGGAACACAGATGACTCTCATCAACAGCCCTGAGGCTCAAAAGCCTCAAGGTTCCCATCTCAGACCTTCCAATTGTACTTACTGTTTTCTGTATCCAAGTGAATTAATAATGTTTAAGAGTCTTTATACATACCTTCAGTGTCCATCTGGGAAATGCAGGACTGACCTCAACCTCTTCTTGCTGCTGTAGGATGGCTGTGTGTGTACTTGGAAAGATATGGAATAGTCTCAGAAGCACGTGAAACAGATTGATATCCAAGCCAGCACCTTTACATTCAGGAAGGATTAGGCTTATGAAAATTGCTTGCTGTGCAATGCATCATTCTTTCTCTCACTCTCAGCAGTTACCAGGATTTCTAAGTTAACCCCTCCAACTTGCTTTCCTTTATAAAGGGGTACAAGCACTGGAAGAAATAAAAAGAGCCATCTAAAGGGGTGATCACCTGGATGGGGCAACCGGAACTTAAACCAGCAACGTGTCATCTCTACCTTTTCTCCTGCCATTCTGAAAGTGCTCAAGTGACTCATTTCTGTTCAGAGAAATGCCAGAAAACAAAGGACATGCACAAAGAGAGCATCAGCCCGTTCCCCCAGTCCCCAGACCCACCAGCCACGGCAGTCAGGGACAGGCAGAACGACTGCTTGCTCAGCATGTGCAGCAGGCCCTGAGGGGAATAAAGGCCTTTAAAACACTGCCTGTGCTCCAAGGGCAGAGAAACACGGATCAGCCAGCTTAGCATTGGCTGAAATACACCCATGGCCTGGTGCCCAGCAATCTGCAGCCATCAGAACCCAAGGACTTCACTGGTCAGGATGGAAGAGCACACTTCCATTGCAGGCACAATGTGCTGACTTGAGCAGAGCAGCAGTCACAGAGAGGCCAGAGCAGCAGCTGAACAGGACAGAGAGTGCATTCAACCAACAAGTTTAGCAACACTCAAGACACTGAACACAGGATAAGGTTAAGTAACTCTGAGACTTTCAGATCTAAACCCAGAATCTTGGCAAAACACCCAGACACAGCAAGTACTACTTAGACAAGCTACTGAGCATGCCACAGGTGACCTCTGTGCTAAGCTGACAAGTGAATGCACACAATAAAAAGAAATATCAGAAATCAGAAACATCAAAAGAGATGGCACAACAAAGTACTCACAGAATTTACACAAATACATCCAATCTATAGTTTACACTGGCTCATGCTCTAAAATCATTAAATATAATAACTGATTAAGGTTTTCATAAGAAAGTATGTCAAAACAGCAAAAATGATGATGGATTCCTAAGACAGATCTCCATTAGAAAATAACTGAATCCATCAATCATAGAATGATTCAATTGAACAATCAGGTGTGACTACAAGACAATCAAGAAAAGCTGGAAGACAGCACCTGATACCATGACCTTTACTACAAAGCAATAGCAAAATCACTCTTTTCTGAGCTACAGAATACACAGCACATCCCTTAGCACAGGCAAAGAAACATTTTTTGCCTTCTCTCCTTCTCACAGTTGATACCAGATTAGAGAAATAGCTGTCCTGCCATGTACAGCTTTTGACTCAGAACATGTAGGATGTTTTTCTGTAACTTTGTACAAATATACCTCTCTGCTACTATGAACTGAGAAAAAATGGTAAGATGAAACTCTATTATTTTCCTATTCCACTCCACCCTCCCAAGGAAAAGTACTCTCAAGGTAAGGAGGTCAACTAAGAACCAAAAATACTGCAGTTTTTGCTGTGGCAAACAAAAGCCTGAACTCCCCTGGAAGGCAGCTGTGAGAAGTTAAACAGACATGTTTAATTCAGAAAGGTACTCTACAATTTCCCCACAATAATAACTCAAGAAATATAGCTGCATTCTTCCAAGACAGAAGCAAAACTGATGGAATCAAGCATGCTTTGTACTTTGAATCTCCACCTAATGCAAAGTGAGGAGCACCTCCTATGCAAACTTTATTATGTGCACAGGTTATTCCCCAGGTTACACACTCAGACATTTAACACAAGGAATGGCCCAACAAGAATCAAAGACAGCAAAAACAAAGACAAACATGCAACTTTCTCTGACCCCTAGTTCTCATTTTTCTTCCTCTTTTTCCCAGCACTGACAGGCTGACAGAGAAGGAAATATACATCCACCCAGTAGTCTTCCATACAAGTAAATACAAAAAAATCAAGTGTTTATTGGAAGTCTGCATGAAGGCACAGATGAGCTTGATTACAGACACATTGTAACAATTACAAGTTATGTAAACACCTTGAGATATACAAAAAAGCAATAATACAGCTAGTACAGGAACAGAATGTAACCTGCTAAAAAAACCAAACTTCTTTATATCCGAGGTTCTTACAATAAGCTCTGATCCACACCAACACAGTGAATGTTCTTAAAGTCACCACTTGGATTCAAGCTCAACAAATCTGCACTTTGGCCATTGTTTGATCCAAATTCCAACAGGCTTCCTTCACTAGGATCAGAAAAACATAGGAACAACCAGCTAGACACCCAACCAACCTATAATGAGGCTTCATTGATTCTCTAACTATACAAGAGCAATCACCAAGGTACTGAAATTAAATATAAGCTTCAGAAAAGCTCAAGGATGCTTGTTCCACTTGTATTTGAGGAAATTGCTGTATTTCTGCAGGAAAGGAACAGTCTACAGCTGTCAGGTGATTTTTTTCTTCCTCCACAGGAGGCTTAGATTTCATCTGAAACACCTGCCAAAACAAAAGTCAGCAATCACAAACTAAAGTGCCTTGGACAGCTTAGGTTTTACCACTAGAATAAAACATCTCAGTTTATAGACACAGAATTATGTTTTATCATGAGAAAACCCACCTTTGCACACAGAAGACTAAATTCCAGTATTTCTGGGGAAAGGGGAATTGCTTTTTGTGATTTTTTTTTGGTTGTTGTTTTTCAATTAGATACCAACACCTTAAACTTGAAGAACTGCAACACAGCATTTTTTCAATGGAAATCACAAAAAAATGCCCCCCGCACCCTCAATAGTTTTAATACAGGCAATCTCCAGGCCTAGAAAAAGAGCACTCTGAGCAGCAATTTTACTACAGGGACACAATTTTCACAAAGTCAACCTTCAACCATCTGTCCTAACACTTCACTCCTCCTCTACAAAAGCTTTATAACCTCTGGAACCCCATTCCAGTGAGGAAAGACTCCCATCCAGGTAACACATGCAGAATAAAACCTAACAGAGCTACAGCATTTCTGCTGACCCTGTGGCCACATCATCCCAACTGAAAGATGAGGTAGTACTTTTCTTTGGAGCCCAACTAGCAGAACAGGCACAAGCACTCTTCTCCCTAAAGTAGCAGCAGCTGCCTGTAATGCAGTGCCTAACTCCACAGTTTATCTCCTCTTCAGAACACATCGAAAATCCAAAACCAGCTGCTTAGAAAAATAAATCCTCATATGAGCACACACTCCCACTTTAACTGCACCACAAAGGCCACGGTCTGCCATGTTCAGTGACTTCCTCCTGTCCACACAGTGGCATTGACTCAAACTCTGCTTGTACTGGGACTCACGGTTGTTACCCAAAATTAACATGAAGGTATCCTGAGTACTTCTTAGAGCAAGACACGGAATTTAAAATAATTTAAGAACCATGATCCAAAAAAAAAAAAAAAAAAAAGGCTGGGAGAGGAATTCAGCTCCTCAGGGAACTGAGGAAATCAGATTGTCTCTATGCATGCAGTCCATTTGGTATTCAGGGGCTCTGTTGGCTCTCTCCTCGAGAGATCTTTCCTCTCAAGGAGGTTGTTGTAACATATGCATGTATTATAATTTTATAGCTTACACTCATAAACCTTCTGGTTTCTTATGAGATGGCTTGAACTGGAGAAATATGCTCTGCATAGTCCATGCTCTGTAGACTCCCAAGGATCAAAAAGAAATAGACTGCCATGACTGAAAAAAAGGAAACATCAGAAAGAGTTGAACAGTATTAGAATTTGTACTGCTTGTAAAACTAAGCATTAGGATCAGGAAAAACACTGTAAAGATCAATCAAGGTCCCTGGCTGCATCCTCTTAGCAAAGCAATAATTGACACTGAGGATAAGAGACTGTTTCTTTGATTGACAAACTATTTAAGGCTCTTTTGTCTCCATGATCAGTTTCCATTTATTTAACAGAGTCCATATACTCTCCTGTCAGCAGTGCAACCTGCACACATCCCAGGGAACTTTCTCATTTTCACTGCTTCCAAGACTGCATTTTTCATTAATCTGAAGTGCACAGGGAATCCACCCAGGCAACTGGATTCCTAAATGAAAACATTTTAACAGGAAAGGAATCCTGTTCTGCATAGCTCCAGAACAGCAACTGCCAATAGAACAGCACTAACACTTTCTGGAAAAACTCTGATGTACTTTCTGCCCTTGGGAATATGCTCTCAGAAGAGTACACGTAATTAAAACAGTCTTATCTGGCTCTTAGCTGAAGACTACCTCCGAACAGTCCCACCTCTTCTTCCAAAGAACTTCTGTGGAACAAATCGTGGATAAAATAAACTCTTAATGCTCTACAGAGTATCAGCTGCATTCCAGTGTCCAAGCCAGATCCCTTGAGAGAAAATACAAAAAGAATTGTACTGTATGCATGATTGTCAGAGAGGAAAGCACTGCTGAAACCGCTGAAAAGTAGATTTTATTTTTTTCAATCTTTAGCTGTGAAGAGGTACGCTCACAAAATGCTCCACACAGCTAGAAATTGCTTCTGTGGACTTACACAGCTAGTGACAATGCAGTGTGCAACTGAGAGGCATTAGTGATGAAAAGGATGTCAGAAAACCACCCAGGTGCTTCTGAGACAAACAAAGTACTTAAGCCCTCACAGTGAGCTGGACCTCACTGTCAAGTGAGTTTCTCCAGTCTATAGATCTGTTAAAATCACAGCTGCAGAATCATAATTCATGACTATAATTCACAAGGAAAACTGAAAATCCATTTACATTTATTAGGAGATGGTTGTGCACAATTTCTCATCTTATTCAAAAAGTCTACAAATAGAGTTTAACACTTCTGATTGCAAGCAAATGTTTGTTCAACGTTCTTAGTTCGATAAGGCCAATTTAGTGCCTTTTTACACTTTCAAGGTTTAGTATACATTTGTCAGTTCTTTACTTTCTTCTGGTAACAGTCCCACTGGAACAGTAAGGAAAGTTCACTAAGACACTTTATAACAGCAGCTGAACTTGGGTTACACAAATTCAGTTTTGGAATATGCTTCAAATGTAAATTATACTAGGCAATTTTCCATTTTGAGATCTTAAAACACCATCAAAGGCTCTTCTCTTTCCACCCACATTTGCGCTACCACCACCATGAGATTGCCCTCCACAGAGCCATACATCCAAGGATCTCAAAGCACTTCAGAAAGGAGGGCACCATTTCAAATTCTGGGATACTTGAGCTGGAATCCTACTTAATACAGAGTATATTTTTTTCTTCGTCTTATGTTTACAAAAGGACAAGCTTCCAACTAAGCTGATCCTGTCTTGACCTTAGTCCCACCTCTGACTATCTGTCACTTTCTCCCATTCAATCCTATCACTTATTCAGGAGCTCTGCTTAATTATAATGCTCAGAGCTGAGTTTCCTCTATGGAAAGCTGAGCATCTGCTATGGTCAATTATTTTCAGGTGGAAGCAGTGGTCAAATTTTAGGTCTGCCACAAACTTGAGAATTGTTTGACTGGAGAGTAACTACCATAATTAATGTAATGTAAATTGATAATGCACTTGATCCCATATTGGTTTAAGAAGTGTAATAGACTATATATGCATTTCTCTAAGTTCTCTCAGAGCTGAAACTACATAGCTACGGTGAAGAAATTCTAATTTTGCCTTAAGCGGAACATTTTACAACATTATTTTAACTTACAACTTTGATTTAGAGCACTATTTTCATAAGGATTTTCAGTTTGCAATTCTGACTGAATAGGTGAGCGGCAAACATGACATTATATGTACAAGTGTTAGTATACTACCAGAATGCTGTACTTCCTTCTTAAAAATGTCCTTAATAAAGCATTAAGCATGTCAAACAAACTTTTGTAAACAAAAGATAAATTACTCATGTTCTGCTCTGATTATAGCCAGATACATATTCTCATAAAATAAACATTCTCTTGTCATTTTCCATGGCCCACATATCCATATATATGAGGTAAACCATTTAAAATTATCAATAATATATAAACCCCAGTACTCAACAGGAACCTCAGGAAAAATGTAACCGAGTAGGATGTCAATATCAAGAAGTGACACTTTGTTCCACTGCAAAGTGAAACCGATTTATTTGTGCTAAATGAATGGAAAGAATGTATTTGGAATACATTTCTTTATACATTGTACCGGCTTAGGCTGCTAAATAAGCATTCATTAGTGCCATGTTGTGCTACTTTCTTGTACTCTGTTTCTACCAAGCAATACAAAGTTTTGGCTGTTAAGCCAATATATTCCTCTATGATGATCTCGTTTTCTAACAGACTTTTGAACATTTAAAATACCTGTTCAAACTTTGCTTCAGGGGAATCACAATGAATATATTTTAACAAGAAAGAAATTATCATCAGCTGTTCTCTACAATCACATCGCCTTCTGCAGCAAAAAAATCCAAGAGCACACACTTGAATCAGCTCTCAGTAACCTGTGGGCAGGACCACACTCCCCTACAGTCACTGTGACAGGGCACACGGTATGGGCAGCTTACAGGTTAGCAGAAATGTCAAGTGACATCATCAAATCTTAAGGTCCACAAATTGTACATTCCACAGACTCCAACAAGCCAGTTCCCTCAGTGTAAAGTTCTGACTGTACCATGTGTTTGAGGTGCTTTCAAACAGGAGAAGTATGGATGTGTCCTCTGTGAATTAAGCTTATTTGCTAGGAAATACCAGAGAGCTTGTGTCTTGGGCACTGATTCACTTGGGTGTCTGACTCACTTTTGCACTAGAAGCTGATAATTTAAATGACTGAAACATAGTGCTGATCTTCCATAAGCTTGGTAAACACTGTAATATTTCAGAATTTATCACGTAGCCCATCATGCCTTTCATTTTCTGCAAATTGTCATGAAAAAATATAAAAAGGTATCCCTTTAATTTTACAAACCTAAAAGCCAGGAAAATGAAGCTTTGGAGCCAAGCAAAACGACATAATGCCGTATTACCAAACAGAGTAGCAAATGTTCCAGCCAGAGAATGGACATACATGTAGTTCAAGTAAACACTGATGGAAAACTTTGTTAAGTTAGTGTTGTAGACCCACAACACTGGCTGCATTTTATACAAACGTTTACAACACAATTAACAGTGAAGCCTATATAACCTCAGTGCAAATAAGTCAAATCCAAATATGCCAAGTAAGCCTTTGGCTTTTAGTAAACTGCTCCGTGTTATGAGTCCACTTCTGACATAGAGACTGCAGAGCACATGCACTAAGGCTGAGAGGAGGGATGCACTGAATGCTGGAAATTGGCTGCCTGCGATGCCGCGCCTTGGCCCGGAGGTTGCACGGGTGGCGGAGGTGGTGGCGGAGGTGGCTGCACTGGGGTCTGCGTGTTTGGAGAAGGAGGAGGAGTGGGACGTTTAAATTTGTCGGGGCTGTTACTTCTTCGTGGTGAAGGCCTCTGCAGAACAAATATTGAAATCATGTTTAACACACTCCTGAACAATGTAAGGTGCAAGTCCTCTAAGTTTGGCAAAGGAAAAAAAAAACAATCGCACAAAGAATTCTGAACAATTATGCGGGAAGAAGAAATTTCAAAACATTGCAGGAGTCACAATACAACTTTTACATAAAATAAATGTTCTTCTGAAATGGAGTAGCAAAGGAAAGGGGAAGTACTCTTGACATCAAAGAGAACATGCATTCCTTCCTGTCAGCTTGCAGGAAATGAACACAAGACATGTCCTGCAGATATGTTTACCCATGATGACCAGCAACCTAAAAAGAAATGAGATGCTGCAGGCACAGCCCCTCCCAGCTGTGCCTGCCCAACCAGCAGGTGCTGAGGAAGCCTTGACTTCATGCTGCTGGCACTGAGGTACCAGGATGTGGTACCTGAGCATGGGTGGGAAAGCTCTGAATATCAGAGTCTGCCCACAATCTCTAGCTCTGAAAGACTCTTAGCCCACACATTGGAGCAAAACCAAAGCATAATACAAGTTGCTCTTTGGAGAACAAAAAAAATATTACAATGCTTTGAGCTGCAGGAGTGAAGCAGTTGTTAGAGAGATCCCCTCAAGAGAAACCACATATTTTCAACAACTGGTACATTTAAATGAAGATTGAAACCCCACTTTATCTTTCCAAACTGAGGGGTAGGAGGGAAAGGATAATCTTTAATGTCAGCAATGCAAAAATATAAATTGCACTCCACAACACTAACTTCTGCACTTTTGAAACAAAAATGCTCATTACTTACCAATCTGGTTAGCATTAATCAACAACCTCATGGCATGACAAAACACCTACCCACAATTACTAATCAACCACAGGTGGTCAGCTCTGGGGAGAAGCATGATTACAGTTCCATACCAAATGTACTACCAAATGTAAAGTCAAATTTATTTTGTAATGGGGATCAAAAAATGAAGAGTCAAGAATGAAACTGCAGTTTAGTCAAATCAAATATATTGTATCTATTTTTCTGCACAACTATGTACAATAGATTAAAGTTATATGTGAAACCCAAGAGATTCTTGAAAACTGACTGATGCCTCTGAAACACTCAATATCATTTATTGCATTTGCATACATATAATATAAGGGGACCTGGTATCAGTATTGAGACAAAGCCATGAGCTGTTTGTCGACACCTTTCTCTGAACAATTAGCATTTTGTCCTCAAGATCTTTCTCACAGTGACTCAATTCATTTAGACTTTCAGAAAAAGTAGTATTTCACAGAGACTAAACAGAGCAAGTTCCTTGACAAACTCATTTATAAAATTAGTTTCCATGTTTTCCAGAATCATAAAGATCTTCCTGTGGCTAACTCATGTGACACACAGCCATGGGCTGAGCCCCAACCAGAATTCTACTCTCCTGCTGAGCTCCAGCTTCCTTTCTGTTCTACCTACCACTGCAGTGTTCCCACCCATCTTAGCTCAGTGAAATTGTAACAATTACCTTTGCACACCCACCTAAACCAGAAGCAGCCATATTTTAGCATTGTACTAAAATTCTATTAAAATACGTTTTCACATCTGAGAATGACAAGTATAAGCAAAAACCTTGATGAATATTTACATACTACCATACCTGCTGAGAAAAATCAAAATGGTCTTGATACAACAACCAGAAGGTATTTTGCCATATGGTTAATATTTAGGCTTTGTTTGCTCATTAAACTCCACAAATATTCAGAAGAAACACAATGAAGTGGAAATGCATCAAACATCGCAGGTAAAAAGGAAATAAATTCAGTTGAAAGATATGAGAAATTGCCCTAACAAATGTTTATATTAACTTTCTTCTTTGCCAATGACAATAGAAAATAAGAGTTAACTGCCTGTTACAGTGACATGATGGTAGCATTGTGTGTCATCCTGAAGAAAACCTGAGCTTGAAGCAACCTCAGATGACTCATCCGTCAGATGGTGGAGACTAGGAGAAAAATGAAAGCAATGTTTTTACTTCCTGGGATAGGCTTAGTAGCTTAGAACATCACTTTTCACACCCTGCCTGCTGATCCATAAGATGATACCTATTACTGTCCTTAAGATGATAATACATCCTATTCTTTTGCAGAAAACAAGGTTCTCCAAAAAGAATCAGTTTCTGAGGGGTGAAGAGGAAAATCAGGGTTGAAGAAAGCAGCAATAGGTGTCTTGGAGTAAAGAGACAAAAACAAACATTTACAAAAATGTTTTGTAAAAAAGCTTAAGGACAACCAATCATAACTTCCAAAAACCAAACTATATTGGTAAAAGGTATTTACTAATTTAAATACTTACTGTAATACCATGGGATGGTCCCATATGTTGCACATGAAGGCCTGGGGAATTGTAGTAAGACATTCCAGCTCTAGTCAGTGAAGTTGGTGGTGTGAAACCAACTGTGTGACTTGCATATGAGAGACCTAAAATTGTTAAAACAAGGTAACATCAACATTCTTGTTTGATATTAAAAACTAAAGTGCTAGGGTTTTTTTTTTTATTTTTTTGGTTCTGAATCAATTATAGCCTAAAAACTGGTAAGTGCTACAGATTAACCATCTAGAAAATACTAATTGTACTGACAAGTGTGATGCAAATTTATTTTCTTTTCCTGTAGCATACTACCATATGTTTCAAATATACATTATACAATGTTAAACGTAACTTTTCACTAAAGATAAATGGTGTAAGACTCCCATAGTAGCTTAGTTCTAGTCCATAAGTATTTCCATTTCTCCACAGAGGAAATGGCTCCCTGAACTACATACAGTCTGAAGAAGCAGAGAGGTTGTGCCTGGAGAAGCCATCTAGCACTGGGCCACAATGAGGCTCCACAAAAAAACTGGATGTAGGTGGCTTCTCCAAGGCACACCAGATCTGCACTGAGGCTTCCTTCTCTTTTGCCTCAGCATTTTAAAGACCTTTGGGACTGGGAAATTAAAACATGCTGGGAAATGTTACTAGCTGGACTAGGCCAGCAACTAACATTTAAAATTGCAACTTGGTTTATCTACATTAAGGAAAGCCCAATATTCAAAATTGCAAATATCTAATTCTTTCATCCAAATATTTCCTTTTTGTAAGAACTCAATTATAAAAATGCAGAGTTCCTGTAGAGGTCTATTTAACAGTAAAACAGAAACAGCAACTGCCAAATGCTTCAAGTTCACACCTAAAGTGTTCCGAACAGCTTGAGTTTCTCAAAAGAGCACATTTTCCAAAACCTTTTGCTCCTTTCTGCCTTCTGACAAAAGTATCATAAGGAAAGAGACAAGACTTTTCTCAGCTGTTTACAATTAGACTCAAGCAACTGCTTTGGAGAATAATGACCAGAAAACATTTCTGAAGGCCTATTAAACTTTTATAACACCACACTGGATTTAACAGTTTTCACACTTCAACACTAAACCAATACAGAACAATGTCCCTGCAGCAACACCCAGCACCATCCCTGTCTGCATGCACCTGTGCTTCTGACTACAAGAGATGAGACAAGATCTGGACAAGAAAACAGAACAAGCCTCAGATCAATAATGAAGTCATATAAACAAAACCTGCCTGTGCTTCCTTCAATTCTGTTTGATTCTGTTGCATTGTCAATGTATGGCTGGTGCAAATTACAAGTTATACCCATGAAATCCCTGCCACTACAGAGTAACAACAAAATTAATCTGCTTTTTGACTACACAATCTAATTCTCTGTAGAGCACATGTGTTATATTTAAGTGCTTTTGTAAGCAACAAGGATAGAAACAAGTCAATGTTCAGGGAGGTGACAAGGCAGCCAGAGGTAAGAGCCTGGAAATAAGGAGCAAAACAGAGCCACCTTTGTAATGTGGCAATTCTGAACTGCTTTGGAATAATCCAGCTCCACAAGCTGAAAAATGCGAGTCTACATGGCAGCCAAAGAAACAAAACCAGAGCAGTGCACATACACTCAGGACAGTTCATCTCTGCAGCCCCACACATCTATCTAGCAGCAAAGCACAGAACAGTAGCTACACTGAAGAATAACTGGTAATTAGAACAACTAATCCCCAGCTGCCTAGGAGCAGCAGTAATTACACTATCTTCAAAGTTCTAGAAGATTTCTAGCACACATCACTGTGCTAGAAATCTCAGCAGTATCTCAGCTTCAAAGAGTCTTCAAAAGTAGTATCCCAAACCATGCAGGCACAAAAGACTCTGGAATTCAGTAGCCAGTATCTGATCCATTCAATCAGCTATCCACATGAAATTACAGCATTTCTAACTGGTTACAAATTCTGCTTCCACATATTCAGGGCACGTCATTTCCCAAATGAAATATGCCAAGTCATACAAATACTTGATGCAACACACAGCTGTTTTATTATTCTGTGCAGATACTTCTGGCATCATCTTACTGTACTACTTTAGATACCAAATACTCTCAAAACCTATTTGTTTTCATCCATTACTGCATTAATTTATCCCAGACAGCTCTACAAAATTCCCAATTGATCTCATTAGTTCTCTAACAAACTGCAGCTTCTATTTTTCTCAAGTTTGACACTTCCCAACTGCTGATATTAATTTATCAGATGAAAAGGAGATTAATGCAGCTGCCTGCGCAGACAAGCTAGCCTGGAACATTTGCCACACCAACATTTCCAAACTTCTAAACTCTCGTTAGAAATAGTAATTTCAGCTGTGCTTCAGAGTGTGTTTCAGCATCCTCTGTCTGTGGGATAAAATTTTCAGTCTTGTATCAACTCCTGATGGGAAACCAAGTCCACAGGGAACAAGGAAAGCACTTCAGTCTCAGTGTAGGAATAAACTGACAGAGTTCTCCTGCACTGACACATCAGCACCTGAGCAGGGAGCATTGCTAAATGATGTAAGTTAGCAGGTATTCTGTCCCACACAGAGCTGTAATTTCTGTGTGACTGCAGATCCAACCTGCAGCTGGATACTGTACTGCTATAAATGCTGCACACAGAGAACCACAAATGGTGCTGTTCCTCCAGAGCAGCTGTTGGCACAACTACACTTCTGTACACCCAGCTACAGGAAAGGGGTAAGAAAACGTGAATCATTTTCTTGGTAACACACCTTGCAAAACATTTGGATTATTTCAGAAATGCAAAAGTCTTCTGAAAACTCATAGTCACACTGCTAATCTCTAACACCATAACATGGCTTATGGCCATAGCTGGTCTTCATACATGCAACACCTGGATGAAAACTACTTATAGTCCTTTGAGAAACCAGTCAGCCTTGAAAATTCAAGGATCTAAAGACATTTATATGTTCTAGCAGACCTGTGTAATAAAATGTCTCATTCCCATCCTGTGTCAACACAGAGCACATCTCACTTGCCTGGCAGGTTCTAAAGGTGAACGTGGGAAAGCCAGGCATGCACAATTCACTTTGTTATGTACAGGGTGTTTGTGAGCCCCATGTAATACCCACTGCCAACAACTTGTAATCAATGTCCAAGTGCAATTTTAAGGGATTTTAAATTTCAGTCAATAAATGTGTTAGTAACACAAACGCATTTCATTTGACTTAAAATATATTCAATAATTAAAAACTCAGAAAAGGTTTGTTTGCTTCTGTTATACAAAGTATGTGAGATAGGAATTATTAATTTTACAGTTATTGTTTAATAACAGAAAATAGCAGAAGTACAAAAGCCATTTCTGGCTTTTAAAATGAAAATTGACTTTTTTTCCATCATGTTCAAAATTAAACTTCTATGATAAGTTGTGATTCAGAGCACAATATCAATCTCATTGCTAGTTCTTCATCAGACTCTAGAAATCCATTTGATTTATGTGTTCTGTTGCGCAGCTTGTGTGGGAAGGGAGGGGGAATAAAAAGACAGCAAGAGAGAAAAAAAGAGCAAAAAAGAAATAAAGTTCAAGTGATAGCTACTTAATTGATATCCAATATCTGTCCACAGATCTGAAATACAGAATATCTGGTCACCATCTAAGAACATGCTGCACTAGAAGATACCTAAGGCAAAACTATTCTTGCATTTATGATGCAGGATTTTTCTCCAAACTAGCTTTGAAAGGCTACTGACCTAAATATATTAATAGGGCACGTTACTATGTGATGCATACAATAATTTTAGAAACTGGGTTAAATATTTACCAGGTGATATAGGTCTGCTAGAACTTGGTGAGGGTGTATAAGGGATAGGACTGGACACAGTGCGAGGTCTTAATCCTTGTGCAGACATCTCATTAAAATATCTAACAAAAAAAGGCAAAGAATAATTAGATCAAACCTTTAAAATGTGCCATGTTTTAAATGTTTCACTGTGATTTTTTTCAATTCCCATAAGAATCACATTAGGAAGTCATGACAGGAACTCTTGTCATTGCTGACACTGGCTTAACTTTCCATGGAAACGGCTGGACTTCTCTTAGGCATTTGCAGTTAAAACCATGTAAGTTGTATATGATTAAATAGTATGTATTGAGGTCAGAGATGTAAACCATGTCATCCAATCTGACCCATTCTACATTCTTGCACTTCACACATCATTTCTACATTGAACTCAAAAGCTTGGTTGGCTGGAGTGTATCTTCCAGAAAGGCATTCAGCACTAATCTGAAATTATGAAAAAGGGTGAAGAAATCATTAAAGTACTAACAATTTATTCCAACAGCTGATCAGCCATAGCATTAAAAACATGTCCTGTTTCCTACTTGAATCCCTCTGGCCCCAACATTTAAACATTTGCTCATCCCATCTTCTGCCACTGGAAGAGAGAGACATTTTCAGCTCAGGACCATCCCACTAAAGGTACTTCCAGGCTGTGTTGCAAGACACATCCCACGCTTCACTATGATAAACTGAACAGATCACAACATGAGGCAAGGCATTTTTCCCCACCTGTAATAATTTTAGTGATATTTATTTGTCCTTTATTCACTGACTACAGTGAAGCTTCTTCACAGATATCAAGTGCTATATAAAAGAATAAAAATAACACCAATTGCTCCTACTTGTCACTCACTGTTTTTACCTCAAGAGATTTTGTGGGTTTTTTCCCCACGGTACTACACTGGCAGTCCCAGGTTGCTTAGGCACTCTCCACTTAGATTTTTCAGTCACTCTCTAGATTGGATGCCCCCCTGCTCCCCTTCTCCAGGTGGATGTAAATCAGTGCACGTGGGTTTATATTACTAGATTCAGCTGTGTTTCTTTACTGGACACAGCAGAGCAGCAGGCCAAATTTGCTACCTAACAGCCCTTAGACTTACTTGTCTCCTACCTGTGTGTTCTCGGGAATTCTTAGTAACTGCACTTATTTCCCCATCATAATAAAAAAAACAAAACCAGAAACATGGAACAGCTTTAACATTACTCCTATTTGATGGAACTCCCAATGACTACTTTGAGGTCTGTCCATACACTTTTTGGTACTGCATCTTGCTGGTTTTTAACCAGGATATTCAGAGTTAACAAGCCACATGCCCTAGCACAGGCAGTACACTGTAGTGATACCAAAGTTGGTTTGAATTTGGGTAGACCAGGTAATAAAAGTAGTTCCAATAGAGAACAACAGAAAACTAACAAATTAGGGTTTAACTAAATATACAAGTTTTTTAAAGAGCTACCAGTGGCAAGGTTAGTGAAACTGAACTAAGCTACCTCTGCAACACACAGCAGGTTCCAATGCAGACCAGTGTGTGAGTTCCAGCAAGGCAGCATCTCTGATTTAATCCCCTTGCTTCTACACAAACAGTTTCCTCAAAGTCATCCCACTACCTGCCTCAGGTGATGTGCAACAGCAGCACCCCATTAGCATGTGTCCTGGTTTCAGGGATTACCCTGCTACTCCAAAAGACAGGATGGAGGATTAAGACAAAGCTATTGCTGGTCTGGAGAAAGAGGCTTTGGGAGAGCTGTGTCCTTTACATGCAGGAAAGGATCTTCACCTACTCTCAGCTATAAGCAATAATTATCATCAGCTAACAGAATGCAACTGAAAGAGATGCATAGCTGACCCATCACCACCATCATTTTTAGGAAGATGTAAGCTGACAAAAATTGACATTTTAAAATCCTGATTGTACATAGTCCTGCAAGTATTTTGTCTTCTCAGGTTAACTACTAATGCCTGCTTTGTCCCTCACTTTGCTTTCTATTACTTACACTGCAAATACCAGATTTGGAGTTATTCTGTCAGGCCTTTGTAGTACCAAAAAAATCAGACATGACAATTTCTTAAAAGCACAGAATAGTTAATCAAATTTTCCTGCATCTTCCTGGTTACCACTACTTACAAGTGGGCAATAAAAAAATTATTATGATACTCTACAATTTTGGATTAATACTGGTAATTCTCATAGATTTAGACTGTACTTCCATTACACTATAAATAGTGGAAGAAAAGGTAAGCCTAATAAGAAAAAATTCTAACCTTAGAATCCCCTATTTCTAACAATTTAATTTATATAGCATCTGCTACATCTTAATACCAGATGCTAAAGCAACACAGGTCAAGTTGCCTTGGTGTTTCATTAGAATGAACACACTACTTTGACCTTTAAGGGTACTCCTTACCACAAAATATCTGGTACTTTGTTTCTGACAAATTAAATCTTATAGCAAATATATTAAGGACCCAAGAGGAAACAGAAATCTCTCAGTATCAGAAAAAATACAAAGCACAGAGTAACTTTTTAATTTATTCTAAAGGACCACCATAAATGCAAATTAATACACAACAATGCAACCAAATAATGAGCATTTGATAAGAACTAAGAATGTTTTATTCAAAATTTACCTAAAATCCTCTTTCAAGATATAACACTGTCATGTTTCTATGATATGAGGGAGCACCAGAAGGCACAATATACACCATGAAAGGTTCAAGACTATCTGTAAGGTCAAGGCAAGCAAAGCAGCTTGCAAAAAAGACAAAAAAAATCAAGGATGTTATGGTTTGGACATCAAGGACAACCCAACAGTTTAGAAATGCTTCCTCTTTCAAAGGTTTTAGACAGTATCCCTTTGTTATGGTTTGGACATCAAGGACAACCCAACAGTTCTGGAAATGCTTCCTCTCTCAAAGGTTTTAGACAGTATCCCTTTGTATTTGGCTGAACATATTTTACTTTCTGCAAAGGACAAATCAGGCCCCACTAAAGATGCTGTCCCTACCTCACAGAATTCCTTGCAGCTACCAAGTTGGGGACAAAACAAGTGTTGTGATCAAATTATCCTGATTTTCAACTCCACAGCTGTATTTATTTCAATATATATTATCAAACCCCAAAACAATCTTCAGATATAAATATTTTCTTACTCACTGTTAAAATTAATGCAAATTCTGTACAACACTGATACAATTCCTGGACTATGCTGGAATTTGATATGCATATTAAACCCAAATACAAGTTACTTCTAAAATTATTCCATAATATTGAAAAAGTAGTATAAATACTGATAAATAAGTCCAACACATCTGGATGGCCAAAAAAACACAAACCTTTCATCGTCCATTTCTAAGCTGGATTCACTTTCTGACAGTTGTCTGCAGAGAGCTTCCCTACGTTCCATTTCCCTCTGTAATTTTCTTTGAAGTCTCAAGTTTTCTTCTCTCATATGTCGCTCCTCTTCTAAGTATTGTGCCATCTTCTCTGAATCTGAAATTCACAGTTTTGTTAAAAGTTGATTAAAATTCAATTTCTCAGGCAGCCAAGTATGTTGTGCCTAATTTTACTCCAACACTTTAAGATGAAGATGTAGAAAATGCTCAGGATAGATCACTGAAAATTTTCACCTTGAAGTCATTAGTTCAAAGCCTAATTCAGAACAGTAGCTACTAAAATAAACTACTGTTTGACATCAAGTTTGAAAATAAAATAAGAAAAACAAACAAAACTCACCAACATGAACCAAAAGTATTTTTTAAAATAAATTTAAAAAGAAAGAAAAATTTTATTAAGAAAACATTACTAAAACCATTAAGAAAAAAATACTGATTCCTGCTCCATTAAAATACTGCTATTTCACATTTAACAAGATTTTCCTGCAACACACTGAAGAAATTATTTTAAAGGTGTATCTCCATTTTGAAGGAGGAAGCAACAGCACAAGTTCTGAAACAACACAAGTTCTGAAACTCCAAACTCAAAGTTGTATTAAAATCGTTACCTTATATATATTCTACAGCACTCTTTCAATTACATGTCTTATCATAGAAGCTGTCCAACAGGACATGCACCAATATTAAAATACTAATATTAAAACTGTATTCAATTTTAATGTTAAAAACCAACAAGAGGTCTAATCTACATCCAAGGGCAATTTGAGTTGTCAGTTCTAACCAACTTCAGCAAACATCACTTAAATGGTCTGGTACCACAGATTATTTAAGGTGATAAAGTCAAATTATGAAAAGTTACAAAGCTTTGTGACAGATTACTTAAATAAAATGGAATATATGATAAAGTCTTATGAGACACACAATGTATTTTGTGAGATTTTGTAACATTTAAGCAAGCTTGCAGTTAAATCCCTGACATTAAGAAAACGCAAAACAATTCATCATGCTTTGTCATCACTCCTTTATGCAACAACTTTCAAGGTAAAGAATATTCCTGCTTCAGAAACCTGTTCCCAAACTGTTAACAACACGTGATTTCTCTCTCTTCTGTGGAAATATCACCTTTAAATGTAACAGTGTCACTTCCTGAACACTATTATCTTACCACACCAGTTCCTAGAAGTGTTTCAGAAATAAAAAATGTAATACAAGTATCAGAATTTCATAAGCAGATTTCATTAAGTACTTAAAAAGAATACTAGAGGTTCTCTAATGACCATATATTACAAACAGCAATCTGAAAACTGCATTTCAGTTTCATCTTCTGCTTGCAGGCTGGCACATCCACCATTCCTACCAGCTCTGCCCTTTGTACTGCAGTTCTGTTTAACCTGTTCACAAAGGGAGAGAGTCCTTTTAAACCAAGCTCTTATTTTCAATGTAAATTTGACATTAATGCTTTCAATTTTTTACTCTAAATCACAGTAGTTCAAAAAGAAACCACTTAAAAAATAGAGAATACTTGAAATGAAATTAATTAGGCTGGATTTGCACAAAGAGTACTTTTCATCTAAGGCCTTGCTCTTGTTCTGAACTTCAGTCAGTGAAGGCTGCAGTGCAGAATTTGCAAGTACAAAGATTAGCTGTCCTTATCTTCTTTTAACAGCCACAAATTATTAATGCCACAAACTTGTACACAAGGTCTCTGCAAAAGAGCACTCTTGATCCATCATCTCTGTCTTGAAGGAAGGCTGCTGCCTTTAGTAATCTCCTTCTCTAAATGGAGGTTGAAATATTCCAGTGAGCCTGGCTGGCTAGAGGGGGCTGATCCTGACTGGTTCTGCATTTGCCCAGATTTTTCTGGCCATGTGCTGAGACATCTCCTCACTCACCAACCGCACTGCAACGCTACTGACTCAGAACCAGGCACAACTGCTGCCTCCCAGACAGGAACTGCAGATTCAGCAGGAGGGAATGAAGGACTGGCACTGCAAATCCAAGGGAAGGTGCCAGCAGCCTCCTGGCAGCTGTGCTCAGTGCACAGTCCCCTCCTGGGCAGGCAGGGCAAAATGCAGCTCCCACTGCTGGCCAAGGGGCCCCAGCCCTGCACAACAGGAACGTGTTATGGAACAGCTCTTTATGCTTCAGAGCCATCTTACATAGGAAAGGACACAGCAAATTAATGCTGCTATACTGTGCAACAGCTGCCTCAGGTTGCCACAATCATTAACAAGTGAAATTCTTACATACAGCCGACCTTTATTTCACTAGCTGTTAATTCTTTTGAGTAATTCTTAATTTGCAACAGGACCCCTACAAAGTAGGCCATAAAAAATATGTTTTGAAAAAATGTGTATGTTGAAATACTGTGAAGTTTCTGAAAAGAAAGATAGATACATATTTTTATGGCACAAAATAGTCAAGGATTATTTTTTGATTCTTTCAGACATCCTTTTAGCAAAGCTAAAGAACCCTCTAAACTACAGTATAAATACATCAACAAGCAATAACACTGCAATTATGAAAATGTTGTAATCTTTTTTTCCACTTTTTTCCACTTCTACCTTCAATTCAAACTCAAGAAAGCACATATAAAAATCTTACAATGCAAAAACTTGAGAAGATTTGAAACAAGTCGTTTACTCACGCTGTAACTGCGCAGCTCTCAGTTGTTTCTTTAACCTCTCCACTTCATTCTTTAAAAACCTGATATGTCTCATCATATTTTCTGGAGAGTCTATCTCCATTGATATGTCTCTGGGTGATGGTGGAGCAGATACTGGCTGGTCTAATTTCTCCTGCAAAATTCTGTATGAAAAAGAGTACAAACTTTACCTTCCGTTCTAATGCAAACCTCTTGTATCCCCCAGAAAGCCATTGCAAGGATTCTGAAAGGTATGCAGGGTTTATTTTAACTACTGTTTGAGGGGAGATACATTGGGGAGGAGTTAGAAAGTTTAGTTTTTAACTTAAAATAAAAAAGGTAAAAATTGTTGTCATAGTAAACTACAAAACCTGCAGTTCATTCAGGCTCAGGTGTTTTCTGAGGCCCCAGCCAAGATTCAGAGGGTCACATTAACATAACAATAGACATGTAAAAATATCAGGTATTAATAATCATTAACCATTAGTCTCTCCTATTTCCTCCTCAAACTGAGTTCTTGTTATTATAACATTTAAGAGATGGTTGCTTTCATATGTATTTTTAATTTTAGCTGTTCCAATAAAGAGTCACTGTCTTAACTTCTACTAAAGAAGCATTGGGAAGTCTCAATGACATGAGTACACACCACTGAGAAAAAGCTCAAGTTTTCTTTAAGCAGACAGGGAAGAAACAAGAGCTTCTCATATCACAAACACAGTAAAATACCATGAATTTAAGGCTGACCACAAACCAGAAGCTTTAAAAGGAGGCTATCAGCAGTAGAAAAAAAATCAATAAATTCCTTCAAGCTTTCCTAGGTAATTTCTTATACTAGTTAGTTTTATCTACTTTAAGCAATCAATAATGTGGCATCATGCTAACAAGGAACTTCACAACTGCTTCATCTTCCAGATTTTCACAGATTAGACAACTCTTGTGGGACAGAGATGAACATATTTAATCCAGACATGATATATTAAAAACTATTGTATTTGCTGGGAATTCCCTGAAAAAGGCAGGAATGATGCACCTGATTCCAAGTTCTCAGAAGGCTAATTTATTGCTTTATAATACTATATTGTACTGAAGAATACTATACTGTACTAAAGAATACAGAAAGCATACTTACTAAATGCTAAAAAGATAATAATGAAAGCTCATTACTCTTTCCAGACTCATGACACTGCTTGGCCCTGATTGGCCAAAGAGCCAAAACAACTCCCAGCAGAATGCAATGAAACAATCACCTGTGGGTAAACAATCTCCAAACACATTCCACATGTGAGCACAACACAGGAGAAGCAAATGAGATAAAAATTGTTTTCCTTTTCCCTGAGGCCTCTCAGCTTCCCAGGAGAAAAATCCTGGGCCAAGGGATTTTTCCAGAGAATGTGAATGCCACAAAAAACCTCTCCCACAGTAACAAGTGCACTGTAAGAGGACAAACCGTTTTTCTGCTTCCAGCTTATCCATCCTCTTCCAGAGACGGTTCACTAGTGCTTCTTGCTCCTGCTCCAAAGTGTTCTCAAGGTCAATCTTCTCACGTCTTAGCTGCAGAGGAAAAACAATTACTGAAAATGATGGGCACGGATATTTTGCAAGGAACTGTCGTTAGGAAAGCTCCAACACCATTTTATGTAATGCTTCACAGGAGCAAGGAGAGGGGGAAGAAGAGACACAATTCAGGTACAATGCACTGGAAAAATCGAGATTGCACAGTTGTTACCTCCTTAACACAAGTTCTTCTCAGAAAACTTGTCCCTGGCCAATAAGCAGGAGCATGAACCCTAGACATGCAGGTACTGATGACGTATCAAACCTATTTAAAGACATCTCCTATACCATCAATCTATGAAATTCAAATTGAATTTACTGTTCATTACAGTAATGTTTAATCTTTTAAAAAGTTTTAGATGTTTTTAGTGGAAGAACTACAGTTAAGTAATCCAGAAATAGAAGAAAAGCCATGTTTGCCTTGTGTGCCTAGTGTTAGGTAAAGGACCTAAGAATATTAAAGAAAAAGTTACATGAGCTGCCTTAAGTGTTACTGTATCAATCCTTACTAGCAAAAGAGATGTAATTCTATCTTAGCGAAGGTTTTATAAAATTTAAAGCTTAACTTGATATTAATCACATTCACTTACTGTGTGAACAAGCATTCTTGATTCTACTACAAGGTGATAAACATACAATGCAGAACCTTCTACTCTAAAGTTAATAAAAGAAGATATAATGTAGACCTACACAGGAAGAAACCTATTATTAGTATTTAAGTAGAAATACAACGCAAGTATTATTAAGAAGAGAATATTAAGAGGCACAGCTGATCTTACTCTGTAGCAATACAGCTCAAGAAGTTGTCAATAACAAAATATTTGAGAACAGATCAACGCCTTTACAGGTGGAAAATAGCATGGAAGCATTTTTCCAAGCCAAGCTTAGTTAATACCACTTTTCTGCTGGGCAAAAAATCTCACATTGGAAAATGGAAAGACTGAAAACAGAAATAAGCATTTTCCATTCACTACATCACTGGCTGAAGGGCTATTGCAGCATCTAAATCTGTAAACTATTAGTGCTAACCACTAAATTAACACTGAGAAACCCAAACAAAATATAAACTTACACACTTCAGGTACCAGTGCAAGTTTAATGAATGTAAAACTTTCTCCTTTAAAGATTAGAGGAATTAGTTACTGTGAGCAGAAGCAGACATATGTTGATGAGTAATAGGGAACATAGAATCACTGTCTAGCAAATCTTTCCATGTTTGAGCTTCCAGATGAACATTAACAGCCCAGGGAACCTACATCTCAATAAAAGAGAAGTCAGGAGGAACGTGCTTCAGCCTTCCCCCAAGGATGAGAATTTGGAGCCTGAGCAACACTTTGTTCCCCACATGGCTGGAGGTGGAGTGGTAGGAGAGCAAAGGGCTCAGCCCCAGGAGCACAGGGCACTCTGCCTCAGGGCTCCACAGCCAGTCTGGCCAATGCCTGGGGCTGGGAATGTGCAGAGGGAAGAAACTACAGAAAATGTCCTGGCAATGTGCACACTGTGCTTCTGCATTAGCAAAACCCACATCTCCATCCACTACACTGCACAGCTAGCCATTTCAATGCAGCATGGCTTAGACTCACTACCCTTAGTCTTTTTACAACTATGTTTTGATCTAGCAACAAACAAACCCACATGAACATACAGGTGAAAAGAAATCTGTATCTTTTAATGGTAGGAAGAAGAGCACACCGGAATTTAAAGACAGAGTGAATTATTTATAAGCCTGGATTTGAAAAATCTAAGATTACATTTAGTATTATAGCAACCATCACCAAGGCAGTGGAGTCCATTAATTATAAATCTGCTTGTAGGTGAGCGTGCACAATGGCAAAGTCAAACCATCAGCAACAACACACAAATAATCCTTGTTTTGTGTCCTGAAGCTGCTCTGACAAAACACTAAAGAAACCAGGTGAAACAGATCTAGAACTCCACATTTCCAGCAGTATGAAAACATACTGGAAACAAGGATCTTCCTTTCCTTGTCATGAGTGTTGTACCACTTTCTCCCACTGTCAGGATTTTCAAGCTTGGAGGAAGAGCACCTTGAATGGCACCTACAGCAGAGGCAAGTGGAGCATCCTGTTGAGAGTTGTGAATTCAAAGAATTGGTGTATTTGGCTTGGTACTCGATAGTTTCAGGAGAACTTTGAAATGTACTCCAGTCAGTGACTATTTTAGCAATGTGGTAATATTCTGAAATAAAATAAGCAGGACTGGATTATGCTCAGTAGCTCTGTCATATAAGTGCCAGTTTACAGGGGTTCAGAGCTACATTCCAATCAAGTATCACCTGATTTTGACCTTTGAAACAAGAAAGCATTGCTTGCTTTTCAGACCTTAAACTTCCCTTCAGAGGAAAAGTAAAATTCCTTTTAACCCTCCTCACCACCAACTTCTGCTTCTTCTTGCTCTCTCTCTCTCTCACACATGCACTTACTTTACTTCAAAATGCAGCTAAAATATCCATTTTATGTGTATCCCTGTATTATTGATTTGTCAGCTGTCTTGCCAACTTATTAAAAAGCACAACTGTTCCCTCCTGAAATGGAGGGCTTCCAAATCAAAGCTGAATATACTCATCTCTGCCTAAGCCCACTATCCCAAATATTGCTTCTCTGCTCCTCATCTCCACCATGCCCTTTGTAGCTTTAATTCTCTGCTGCTTTCCAAGAAAATATTTCCCAAAGATTTTACCATCTCATGCTCTTCTCCTTTCAAAGCAGACACAGGAGATGATTATTAGCAGTTTAGCTGTTATTTCTCATCTCCTAACTGCACCAATTCTAGTTTCTCACTGCACTGTATGAAATAGAAAAGCAATTAAAAATAGTAACAGCAAGAGTACACACACTTGGCCTCTGTAGGGCAATCCTGACAGCTATTTATTTCCTATCAAACCACTGAACTGGAACACAGAACATTATTGCTCGTTTTAACTGAGTCATTCAGTTAATGAAATAGTCACATGCTGTAAATTTCTTCACCATTTGCCTTCAGAGAAGAATGCTCTCCTGACTTAAAGCTGACTTAAGAAATTATTTCAGGGCACATGTGAACTCTAAGATCCAATTTAATTTTTATTAAGGAATACTATTTTATACCACCAGAAATCAGCTGCCTCCTGATCACCTGTGGTATAAGCAGTTCAGATGAAAAAAAGGAAAGGAGAAAGAAAAAACACCAAGCACAGATAATTCACCCTCTCTATTTTAAAAACAACATTTCAGGGAACATATGCTGTAATTATCTGCTCACTGATTAGTGACAGATCTCAATGTAGCCCAGCTCCAAGCATTGTTGGAGTTCTCCTTCCAAGCCCTGTTTAACAGGTGTTCTGATGGTTGTGCTGCAGACTGTGACAATCCCTCTTCCTAAATTCTCTCTGTGTGCAATAAAGGCAACATGACTCTCCTCACAATTTTGGGTTGCTTCTTGCTAGGTACAGCACATGCCCCAAGGCTGCTGCTTCAGCTGGTTAATTAGCACAATCAGCACTTTGTGTGAGGAAAGAAGGTGTGCTGAAGCCCTAAGTAACCTGACATTTACTCTGCCTTACTGTGAGAGAAACCAAAGGCATACGGTGAATTACACTAAATTCACATGGAATTTCTAAGCAAGACTGACAGCCAAATTTTAACATCTTCACAAAGTTTTCAAAGCCAGGTACTAAAGACCTTTGTGCTTCTATGCTTTTTGAACAGTGTATCATTGACATTTAGATGTAGTAACAAGTTTCAAATTTTATGATTTCACAAGTCAGTCTGTCCAGAATGAGACAAAAATAATACCATGAAGATTTCAGCCATGGCTCATGCTAACATTTCAAAGACTACAACAGCTTAGTATGTTAAGCTTACTTTGCATTTTGATTAAGTGGCAGCCACCACCACCTTGTGGCTAAGAGAGTTATTTCAACCTCATGCTAATTTCCATGCTGGGTAAAGGATCTGTTGGCAACTATGCATTCCTACCTTTTAATTTTTCACTTTGTTCCATAGGTCTCTCCATATAGAAGGTTACCATGAGAATCAAGAGAACTCACTTCATCATTTAGATAGCCATGGACTAATTTATCCAGGCCAACAGAAAAAGGACACTCATACAAAACTGGTAACAATTCAGATTACCAGCAACAAAAAAGTTCCACAGCAGAAGAAATCACAGAGATAACACACTATATTTACATCACCTGAATTAGAGAAATCTAGAGTCCTTTACAAGCCTAAAGGTTTCACCAGTTTGCCTTTTAAGCCAAAAGGTCTCCTACTGACACCATTGAGATGCAGATGCCTAAAATCAGACATGAGCACTCCCAATGTCTAAACATCCTGTGGAAACACAGCCAAACAAGGGGTGTTTTATCTCTGCAATCTTCATGACTGTCTAGGGAGAAAGGGAGCTGGATGCAGTCGAACTTCAAGGCTTCTGAAGGATACACGCAGCTGACAACTCACAGTGGCAGGGCTGTGCTATCCAAGCTGCCACCACAAGGTGACCTAGAGCACAACCAGACCACAAACAGATCATTTACTACTGTGCTTAACACCATCAGAAGTCACAGTCTTTTCTCACCAGCAGCATGAGTGGAAGATGATGAACAGCAACAGGCAGCATTATTTACAAAAAAGCTGCATTTGCAAAAGTCACAGCTGTCCAGCAGACATGAAGGTCATTAAAAAGGCTACTATAACAGATTTGATACTATAGATACTCATAGATATAATGTCCATGGAAAAAACTAATCCAGGTTTCTCACAATAAACTATGTTACTTTTCTATTGCTTTGGAAGCTGAATTGACTTTTCTATATTCTTGATACTGCCCAGTTTCTTACACACTTAAAACATTAAGTCAAATCTAAGACAAAAGAAGGACTTGGTTTTTTCTGTCATATAATGATGCAATGAAAGAGTTACCTGCTCCAGGGTGAGCTGCTTCGAAATAGTATCATTTTCCAGTTTTTTAATCTTCTTCATCAGTTTGTTCACTTGGAATTCCTGTTCCTGTTCTAAATGCTGCTCCAGTTCAGCTTTCTCATGTTGCAGCTAAAAATTTAGGAGACATGTAAATATTTTAAACAAATAAAGGCATGAACTTATGCACCTTTTATATATTTGTTCACACATTTATTCCTCCTGCATGTTAAATTCTCTACTGATGCTTCTCAAAAAACTTGAAAATGCACAACCCGCCCAACAGCCCCTCAAAAAAGAGCATTTTAACCTGTGCTGCATATGTACAATGCAGAGAAAATTAATTCCAACTACTGAATTCAGTCAAATTAAAATAGGTTATTTTATATACTATATATAATATAGACATTTCCAAAGTAAAAATCTATCATAATGTTCACAAAAGCATTAATTTCAATCTAAATGCATTATCTCAAGAGCACCCAAATCACAAAATGCAGGTCTTAGCACTTCCTTCTCCAGGCAGCTGAAAGCTGAAAATCGTGACTGAAATCATACTAATGAAATTGCTGTACAACTAGTTTACAAACAACAACAACAATTTCTAATTTATATTCCTATGCTATTAAAATCAAACTGTCCTGATGACATAAAAATACTGGTTATTTCAAATCAATGTTACATGTTTTCTTGATATTGAAAGGATTTTTTTCATTTAACATGTCCAATGGAGAAGAAAAATTTAGCTCTCAAGTAGATGGAAACAAAAATCCCCCCTCATTTTAAGATAAAGTATGGCTTGGAGTAGAGTCCCTCTGAGACAGGGATCTAAGTCTGCCTGTGGATAGAACAGTGTGACTGGCAGCATGGTACAAACATGTGAACCTGCCTTGGGAAAAAGCAAATGTCACCAACTGACAATGGTGTCGTTACATTGTGTTCTGACCATCCACTGACAATTGCAAGCACCTTTTTCCACCTGCTTCTTTTTTCTATGCCAGTTCTTCTGGCTAGCACATAACAATCTGTAAGACCACAGTGTTAAATGTGTGAGGAAAACCTGAGGAAATGGAGACACCTTGCAGTCATGGACACAAATCAAGGTTGCTGGATAGCCACAGTGAAGGAAAAGACTTGGATTTTGAAACAAGCTAAAATTGCTCATTTTAATTCAGATCCTTTTGCTCCTATTTAGAGACAAATTTGTCTGTGAAGTGCAGCCTGCCACAGAGATCAAGGCAAAGGCTCAGAGAGGAAGAGCAACAGGCAGACAGCAACTACTTGGCAATACAGATATGGGAAAAGTTTGGGGGTTGTGTTTTCAGGGCTTGTCAATGCTGAGATCTGATTTTTCACAATTTAAAACAAATACCACAATAGCAAACTCTTAGAACAGAAAATATTGACTTCATTTTACAAAGAGAGAGAAAAATATTACTAACACCCCCAAAATATATGAGTGGTGTCTGTCACTTACATAGGGTAAAATAATTTTTCCCTTTTATTTCCTTTAATTACAAAAACAAACCAAAACAATAAAAATCTAGTTATTGATGCAACCTTAATGCTGAAGAATAGAATTGCTAACAATGAGAAAATATCCCCTGGTACAATACAGGTGGCTAGTGTTTATTTTACTTAGTAAAGTAAGAGTTTTTCCCAACTGATTTGAATTATATGCAATTATAGTAACAATGGTTTACAGATACACCTGCCACAGCTATGGAGAGGGAAAAATGTGTTAGAAAGTGTCACCTTGATGCCAATGTCTTACAGACCTTGAATTGCATATGAAAACTGAAAGAGAATTTTCAGCTCTGTAAGATTAGAGATGGGTTTGGTGCAAGAGAGACAGTGATAGTCTGAAGTGAGAATGGGGCTAACAAACACAAAGCTTAGCAGCAGCAGTGGGTGCCTCAGCTCATTCTAAACAACTACTGCAACACTCCCTCTCTGCAGAAACAAGTGTCCTCATACCATGCAGGGCCATGTCTGCCTTCCTTCCTACTGTGCTGTTTACTTCTGGGATAGTGGGAAGTGTTTTTATGAAGTAATGGAGCCAGTGGATGAAGTTCCCCTTAGAAAATGAACCATCATTTATCCCCCACACTATGACCTTGTACAATCTATTTTTAGGTAATCCAGGCTCTCAAAAGTTGTCCACTTCTTCCTTCACTGCATCCTCAGAGTCCTATTTGTTAATAATTTTGTATCAGCAGTTTGCCTACTCCTTATGTCCAGATGTTCATCAAATAATTGATAGATGAGCTGGCTCTGTTTATTCAGCACAATCCCATTAGCATCCTTGAGCTGATGCATGGTATTTTGAGAGCAGGAAGAGTAAGAGCTTATGTTTACAGGCTCACAATTTTTTAAAGAACTGTCAAGAATCAGACTTACATAAGAAACATTTCTGTACAGATATCCAATTACTTACCTTGCCTGACTACACATGCTATCATCCTGGTATGTTTTAATATCTTTCTTTCAAGGACAGCTACTTGGACCAATTTGCACTTCCAAAAATATAAGGGTGTTGAAAAAAAATCTGAATTTGATTTTTGAAAAGGACTAGTGCCCAATTTAAAGCAACTGACTTTGTAAGATTAAACAACATTAAAAATAAATTCTTCTTTGGAGCAGCCTTGTTTCACAAATGGTAAATTTTCAAGATTTACTACTTTAAGTTTCAAAACAGTAACTCAACAGGTCCATGTCCACCACTGCCAAGAACAGAGCCTGCATCAAAACACTTTGCATGATATTCTGCAATATACTGCTACCATTCTATAATGACTAAGAATTGAGGATGCTATAAAAAACATTCTCCATGCTTTTTTAGAAACTTCATCAGGTAAACAAAAATATAACTACATGAAGTACATGGGAAAATATAGTAAATGTGTATAAGGCTTATAAGAACTTTATCAGGGATGCATGTGATAAAAATCTTCTGTTTACTGTAAGATCTCTGTTGAGATGCATGTGCTCCTTCATTCCTGCAACACTCAACCTAGACAATTAATAATTATTCAAAGCAAAGGAAATCTATCTAATAAGATTGTACATTCATTCATTTGGCTTGTAGAGGCAGTGAAAGTTCCATTTCTAAGGAGATATTTTTAAGCAATGGCATGGCACCAGAAAGACCACCATTACTCCAGTGGAAACACCTTCCTTCACGTGCCACCATGTCTGTTTCAATCTTGCACATAGTAAAAGGTTTCAAAATTAATTTCTGGTATTGCAAGCCTGATGGCAGCCTGTGATTTATAACAGTAAAGCACATGGTGCTGAACTGGGGGATTCTTGCTGGCTGTCAGGAGGAGCACTGCAGCTCTGGCAGGCAGCTCCCACATTCAAAATGTTTTAATGTTCTGGGAGCTCATTCCAGAGGCCAGGCTGAATGAGAGGCATAAACCCCTGAAACTGTGACAAACAAAGGTCTGACAAAGCAACAAACACACAGGCACTGTGAAAAAAGTCCCTCTGCTAGGTGCCTTTCAACAGAGTAATACAGCAGTAATTTTGAAACAGGCACAGAGCTGTAAATACTCTCACTTGGGAGAGTACAAATCATATGCAGTTTAGCAGAAGTACCTCTCCTCAGCTCCAAAATGCAAAGTTTTAGACAAAACAACAGATTTATATGCACTGTTTTCCCTTACTCATCCCAAAGGCAGGAAGCCATTTGATGTACAATGTCTGCCAGCATGAATGCTGTAAATCTAGTTCCAGGTCAGAGCAACACTGCCTGGCAAACCCAGAGATTATGAGTTAATCCCAAAGAACAGTGGAGTAACCAACTGGAGACTACTGTATTCCTGGGTCAGTCATTACTCAAAGTCTGCATCTAATTTAGCTAGAATTCCCTGCAGAGCAAAGATGCCAAAAATGGAAGTGGGCATTTATGAGTTCATTATTCTCCTAATAAAGATAGAATTGCTACACTCTAATGAGTAATGGTAAGTACTGGCATCCACAAATTTCAGGAAATTAAAAAAAAAGGAAATTATAATTATCTTACCTTCCTGGTCTAAAAAAACATTAGCCAAGACTGTAGCCCTACGTCTGTATAACAGGAAGACTATCCAATTACAGAAAAGATATTGTAATAAACTCTAAACTGACCATGTGATGTGTCCCAATAATGCCCTCTTTTCCAAAAAATGAGTTTGTTTTAAATTTGTTTTAATATCAGGAGTTTCTCTTCTTCAATTTTTAACCTGTTGTTCTATGTGGGTATAATTTCCAGGATTCAACATGTCTGAAGAATCAAAACCTTCAGACAACAGATAATCTTTCAGAAAACAAAGAACATCAAGTACTATTTTCAGTTCTTTGCTGCTTAAAAAAGTTGCTTGCAAATCATCAATGGTCTAATGTCAATTTACTAAGTCCATGATCTCTGAAGAGTTGAAAAATTACTTTCATGGAAACATATGGTAATATTGAAATGTTCCCTAATTCTACAGGTAAGCTCTTTAGTAGAAGGAACAATTTCTTCTGTATCATTTATAAGCTGCTAACCACATTACTGATGTTTAAGAGAATAGATTAATATCCAGGTTTTGTATTTCACAGCAATTTTATCACATCAAAGACATAATCAAGCCATGAAATGAGATCTGCATTCAGCATACACACAAACAGAAAAACAGTTTTAATACTAAACTGTTTGCTTTAAAACAAGTGCTCCACCTGTACTGCAATTTTTGAGCCACTGTAAAGGTATAAAAAGTCATCCAGAAGTAGGGAAAACAGAATCTGCTGACCAGTGAAAGGGAAGGGTTAATAACACTTCAGCATATGCCATAAACAGAAACACCACTGGTGCCTATGCACCAGCCACAAAAGTTTCAGTTCTGGCCTTGTGGAGGAGCATTGATATAACCCTTTTCTCCTCTGTGCACTGAAGTTTTCAGGTGAAGCAAGAAATTCCATGCCACTCACCCCTCACAGGCAAACCACCAACACCACCAGGATGCTGACAGCTGTTCTCTTTTTCAAGTTACCTGGGTTATTATTCAGAGAGGACAAACTCACAATTCACTCTCAAAAATTGCTACCTAATGGTGCTGAGGGAAATCACACAGCTTCAGGATGAACAATTTGGAATACAGCTGCATTTCTGAATTATTTTAAAATCTTCTGGCTGACATAACCATGTTTATCACAAAGGCTTACAGCAAGGACACATGGAATGAAATCCAAGGCTGCAGGTGTGGATCAGAATTTTACCTCCATACTCTTGTAGGTATTGCTATACAGCTTTTTCTTTCAGCACAAGCCTGCAGCTTGCCTGCTGAAAGCTGGGCAGTATCTATGGGATGATGTTGAATCCACAGCTGAGGATTTTCTCCAGATGCTGTCTGAAAGGTGAGAATAACTCCAGCTTTATGTCTGCATTCTGTTTCAGATGCTTCTCTGCATGTTTCTTTCACCAATGAGAAGGAAGTTTCACCTGTTAAGGGTTTCCAGCAGACAAACAGCACAATGCCCTTGCCTTGTTTCATACATAACAACAAGCCAAGCACCTCTTGGCCATTTTGAGAACAATAGAATGTTTCCTTTTTCTTTAACTTGGGGCAAAAGTCAAAGGATAGTTTCTGAATGCCCATAGCAAAAAAAAAAAAAAAAAAAAAAAAACCAAAAAAACCAAACAAAAAACCTGTACTTTTAGGTTGACAGAAGTTTATATTTCTCTTTGCAATATATGAACCTATTTTGCATAATTTTAGCAATTTAAGAATACTACTAAAGATAGTTTAAAAAAATGTTAAAACAATCTCATTCTAGGGAAAAGGGTAAGCATATTTGAAGCAATTACTTGATGCAACAATTTACTTGCTGTAGAACTTTGTGGCACAAATTTGTGTCCAAGGTCATGATATGACTTCAAAACCCTTCAAACAAATCAGGTGTAATCCATGCTTTTACATTTAAAGTAAGTTTTGGTTTCCTCTTTATAATGTATAGTACAGTCCCACATAACCTGGTTCTGTAACAGATGTCTACATCTCCCTTTCAATCAAACAACATTGTTTAATGTACCATTTCTCCCTTTACTGCAAGAGACTTCAGTGGAAAGGTTTTTCTATAGTGATATCCACATCTTACTTCAATTAGAAAAGAACAGTTGATACCCCTATTTTACTGCCATCTGCTTCTCTGTTTTTAATGAAAATGTATGGCTTAGAAACCAAACATGCCTCTCACTCAGAAACATCCTTGTCACTCCTCAAGAACAGCAAGGGGAAACAGTAATACCAAGTAAGGGATATTTTATGCTGCTACTGAGCTTCCTGTGTGATAACAGGCACCAAAGAGACAAAGTGAGAGAAGGCCCAGTTTTCAGTGACAAAAGCACCAGATGGGATTAGCTCTGGTGGTGTTTCCAAACACTGTATTTCCTAACATGCCTTCAGTCTCCAGCTGCAGAACACAGCAATGCTTACAACATACAAATTAGCTCCTTTTGAAGTGCCTGGTTTTTCATGACAAAGCTTAGAAGTGATGGCATGAAAAAAGCTCAGGCAGATCACGTTAAACACTCCCCTAACTCAGTACCCTGTCTCCTACAGGAGCCAACAGCAGGTATTTAGGCAAGACTGTGAGAACAGAGCAACCATGTAGAACACTTCCAACAAATACTGAACCACTTTCTAAAAATTAGTAACTTGGGTAATGGAAAGAGGTTTCTCTGCCACAAATTTTCCCAGCATCTTCAACTTTTTACTTTTACCATCAAACTGATGTGTTTTAATTTAATAGAAGCAAGGGTTTTGTTACAAGTATGGACAAATTTGCATAAAAAGTTTCCTTTGAGCATCGCTGCACATTCTTGAATATAAAGTTTAATATTTCAGGACTTGTGTTAAGCACCAAATACTCCAGAAAAGAAAGTGTGTTTCACTAACATTTTAAATTAATCAGTAACTCTTGTCTGGAAGGCAGGTGAGATTTACTGCAAGCTATACCCATTTTTTGCATCATTATACAAACTTTCAGGTTCTCAAAGCTGAGTTCACAGATGCAAACTTCAAAGCAACACATTAAAAAGAAAGGTCACTCACTACACTCCTTGTACTTTGCTTTTATCAAGTGTCAGCTTTCCAACCTGACCACTTCCCTCAGAGTGCAGTCACACAAACACAAAAGTTCAGTCATCAGTCAGTCCTGAGGCTCCTGGGAGAAACATCAGTAAAGGCACCAATTACCTGCATCAGTTTTCTTGAGAGCTCATTAGTGAGAAATTCCTCTTCCTTTTCATAGTTTACTGCAAGTGTTTCTTTTTCTTTCTGCAGAGCTTGAATCTTCTTAAATAGAGTATTACTGATGAATTCTTCTTCTTGCTCTGCCCTTGCTTGCTGTGAAATAAAAACATAGTTTTGAGAAAAAAGGGAGCAAGTTTCCTTTCAAAACAGCTGCAATTATTTCATTCCTCTTTAAATGCTTATCATCCTGGAGGCCTGTAGGCTGGACCTAAGTGCTGTTACCAACCCCATTTATAACGTTATAGGACCTTTTTTCATTTTTTGTTTTCAACCTTTTGACTTGAGAAACTGCACTGGTGCTTTAAAGTGGCCTCCTCCCAGCCAAATGCACAAACTCCTCAGCCTTACAAACTCTGTAAAAGCATTACAGATTCAGACAACTATTTTTACCTACTCTATGCCTGAAAAGGAGCTCCTGTCTAAATGTTCTCCATTACAAGCTGAAGCACAGCTCAGACTGCTGCATGCACCACTGTGCCCCCTTCTCAGATCCCTTAGACTGAGCTCTGCTTTCCAGGAGTCAAATAATGCTCCTCTTTCACCCCGATATGCAGAGCCAGAGGCAGCACAGCTCCTCTCACAGGAATTCCTACCCCTCCACCAGGAAAACAGCTGTGGTACTCCTCACAGCTGCTACTCCACTACATACAACAGCAACTCACAAAAATGCCATGGGGTAGCTTTACCCCAAGCTACTCTGGAAATCTTCTCCATGCAGAATTACCAGAAGTGACAATTTCCATTTCAGCTTACTGCACTCTGCACTGCTCCACAGAAAGCCAGCCTGGGACACTGCTCTCTTGCATTCCCTACAGTTCAGATGTGTGTATGGTTTTTAAGCATAAAGTTGATAAATGGAACATAAAAATGATCTTTTGAAAGCCTGCTCTGAAAGGCCATGAAGGGTATTTCACAAGGGCAAATGAATGATCACAGCTACAAATTGGTAGAGTCAACTCTTAATGCCACAGTTCAAAGCCTAGAACAACCAAATGACAGAAATACTGCATTTAACCAATGAGGCAAGTTAGTGTTAGGAGTGATTTTATTCCCTGCAATAAAAACCATGACTTGAACTGCACATATGTGATTGGCCCTGATTCTAATAAAATTACACCAGCTTATAGCTTATGCAAACATTCTGCAAGCTTTATTTCAGTAAACTTAGAGAGAGGAAAATTTAAAAACAGAAAGAGACACATTGCTGAAAGCTTATCTTCCATAATCCTCTGGCCAAAATGTGCCAAAATAACAATCTCTTTATACTTATTGTACACTGGAAAATGCTTGAAAGATTTCATTATGTCAGTGATCTTTTAACTGGAATGATATATTCCCTAGTGGTCCAAGAGCCAATTAATTAGACACCTTCAACATCTAGGAGAAAAGTTAATTAAAGAACATAACTGTCTTTCAGTCTGCTGAAACAATAGGACAATTACAAATTTTCCTCATGGTATCACCAATACCATAAAATCTAAAGCAGTGGTTTGGAAACTTCTCAGTTGAGTCCTCATTCCATCAAGTTATTCTCTTCACATCTTTGTTGCTGTCTTCTTGTGTCTTCTCCCATCCCTACTTTCTTTACACGGCCCTGTCCTACGATCTAGCTCCTTTCTCCCTGTCACCACCAGAGCTGGTACAAACCCAACAAGAAAAAAAACCAAAACAAAACAAAGAAAGAAAAGAAAAAGCCAGGTCAGGCAGAGCTTGCTGGCTTAGCAGCCTAGGTCCTGCACAACACCTCCTCTCTAATGTACTGCATCTCCACAGCAGAGAACAGCTACCCCAGCATGTTCAGCAGTGGTATTGTTATCTGTCACATCAAGAAAATAGAGATTTGTCCAAGAGGTCTGAAGAAATGTTACATTGTCAGCTCACATCTCAACGAATTAAAACTCCTGGAATCTAACTGATCTGAATAACATCATCTATCAGCTTCTAAATGTGGCTTTACTTAGAGCTACTAACCATCTTATGTCTTCAGAGACATTCCAGAACAGAGTAAACAAGTCAAATTGCAAGGGCTCATTGTCCTCAAATCATTAAAATTCATGCATACTGTTCCAAAATCAACTCCTCCACTGCCTTCACTACATAGGATTTTTACTTGTGTCTGTTTTTCAATGCTTCAGACAACAGAAGACAGTAACACAGACCAAGCTTACCTAAAATTAAATTAGAAAGCACTTGTTTCTGAAAAACAAAAGAATGAGGGTGTTTCTGCTTTGATTTCTATTGTGTGTAACTTGCACAGATTTGTTCTGTTCATGCTTTGCAGCAGTCAAAAGCTCTAAAATCACATTATTACAGCACCAAGTCTGCACAAGACTCCCTGCCAGATCCTGGTGTCACATTAACGCTGGTGCTCAGGCCAACAGGAGCACAAGGTGCCAAGCTCCCTGGCCTGGCCAATGCCCCTCTGGAGCTCCTAAGGCCAGGCAGCAGGCCAGCACAGGCTGAGGATGAGGAGACACGCAGGAACCAAGCCTTTCCCTTCCTCCTCTGTCCCCTCCTGCATCTGCCTCCCCAGCTGGCGTGGCACACACACACAGCAGCGTGGTGCTGGCACACAGAGCAGGGTCAGCAGCCCTGCTTTGTACCTGCTCAACAGCTGCCCTGCAACAACCCTGTGCCCACAGCCTGCAGGAGGCTCTGGGAAGGATGGGCAGGATTAAATCTGCCTCCCTTACACAAAGAATGCATTTCTCAACTGAACAGCAGCAACCCTACATCTGCACACAAACTGTGAGCCCCACATATTCACACAGCACACTGAATACAGTGAATGTCCATTTAATTACCCATGGGTCAGCACTTTCAACACCAACATTTTAACTGAAAAACATCAGACAGTTATTTAGACTAGGTACAAACCACGTAATTCATTACCACATTTCTTCTAAATTTCATACTGAAACTTGCCCTTTATCTTGTTACTCATTAATTGGTGATAGCTAAATCATCTCAAGTAATAGGATAATTCATGTTTACCTAAATATTGCCTAAAGTCTTGAAATCTGTTACTCATTTAGCCAATAATCAAACTGATTTTTCTAGATGTGAATATACTGTTTTTCCTAAGGGATAACCTGTCTTTTTATTAAGTATCTGTATTTGAACAGAGGCCTGATATCATCAGCAAAAAAAAAAAAAAAAGAGAAACAAAATACAGAAATCAGAAATGCTAGATCTTCCACAAGGGTCTAGAGTTCTTGGTTTTCCTCTATTATCCATATCACCCTGGACATGCAATAATACTAACAGCCATTTACTCTGTTCTGTGTACCATATTACAAAATAAATTGCTAAGGCACTGAGTGATACAAAATGATAACACCTGATCAGTCAGTCTCTGGAAACCTGAAACAAGCAATCTACTTTCACCACAGATTTTCTGCATAACAACAGACATATCCACCTGTCTTCCATGTCTCAGAACTCCATGCACAGCTAACTTGGAGCATTCCATGGATGTATCCACTAAGCAAAGTCTAATTATTGTGGTCAAGACTATAAATGCAAGGGCTATCCTGTTACTTTGCACGAAATTAAGAATGAAGAGGGAGATAAAAAGCACCACATGCATATAAACCACAAAAAACCTCTTATACTTTTGAGGAAGAAAAATCTTATTATTTTTATTGCAGATGCTTGTGAAATCCTGATCACTAGTAGAGCTGATGCATGAAGTGTCATAAAAATCTGTCCTTGTGAGCTTAAATTGCAAGTAATTTTAAAAGAACTAAGAAACATATTTTCCTAAACTTCACGTAGTAACCAAGTATCATATTAGGAAGTGAGCTGCACTAAAGTTCTTTTTTCACATGCTGCATACACTTCTATAAACTGAAAGGTTTGCCATTAAAATATACTTTCCTTCTCTCAGTTCCTCTTGCAAATACACCTTTAGCAGACCAGGTTCACACTGCTGAATTTCCCTCTGCTCTCTTGGTTCTAGCACCAGCAGCAGCTTCTGCTTCTAGTGGGATGCTCTTTTTCTGTATCACTGCCCCATACACTGACCACACTGCTCTAGTGGAACTGTATTACACGAAGCAGCAAAATTCAGTACTTCTGATGAGCTTACACACAGTCACATAAAAATAAACTATACAAAAAAACCTTTAAAAAATCCCTTCCACCCCACCACTAGCTCTTCTAAAAGCCTCACAAGCCTTCCTGACACTGCACAGCAAGCAAGTTCAGTGATGCAATTAATACCTGCTCTGTAATCAGTATCAGCACATTATCAGTGACCTGACATGAACATGTTCTTGCATTTTAGTGTCAGGTGTCATTTCAGACAATTTCAGCAGTAAACATTTCACAAACTGCCCCAGGCACCCACACAAGGCAGATGCCAGGCATGCCCAGCCTGCAGGCTGTCTCCAGCAGCATCCAGGGTGAAGGTGACACAAGATTTCAGGGGATCTTACTGGAAACAGCCTACCAAGCATTGTTTTGATCTAATCCACCCCTGAAAGTCTTTCATCTTTATGTCAAGAGCCACCATGACCTCTTTACCTTTCATCCAACTTTTCCTGGTGCAGTTTGTAACCCTGTAGATGGAGCTGAAGAGCAGTTTAATCTGCCACAAGAAACTCAATCTTTGCTACTGAATATAGACTGGAGGGTTGGGACAGCTTTGGGAAGAGATGATCTCAGTTACTGCACATGTTACACTGAACTAAAGCTGTCACTGCAGAAAGCAGCCCTCCCAAAAGTTCTGCTTAATAGGATGAGCTAAACAGGGTGACAAGTGCAAGAAGCTACAATGACACGATTTTTGAATATGCAGTTCTTGCATAAAATAAAACCTAAGCTTCCCAAATCTCCTGAAGTACACACTCCTCCTCTCTCAGTACTAGTGACTGCTCTGGCCATACTTTCTGGCACCAGGTTAAAATGACACAGAAAACTACAAATGCAATAAACATTCCAGTGAGCTGATACTGCTCCCTTACAGGAGAAACTTTTACAATGCAGCTTTTTTTTTCCTACAAACCTTCCAGCTGCATCTGACATGACCACAGTGCATGCAATGTGCCTTACAGACAGTGAGAAACATGAACCACCACAAGAACAGAAGT